CCCTGCAGTTTGCCATGAACAATGTAGGGGCTTTGCTGTAACGTACAGCATTGCTGCACCAATCCCAGCTGGAGTAACAAGTTTAGGAAAACGGTGGCAATGTAGAAATCTAATGGGAAATCAACAAATCCTTCTTGCTCAGCAGCAGTGATAAAATAGTATTAATAAAATCTCCTCCGCTGCTTTCAAGTTCTCCTTGGAGATATGGAAGCAGCAGAGAACACAGCACACACCTACCCCTCTGCCTCCACCAAGACTCCTGGATCCTTAATATCTCTTTCAATTAGGGCTAACAGAGGAGATTTTCCTTTCTTCTGATCTATCCCCTGGGGCAGCAGCAGATGCCTCAGGTCGCTCACCCAGTGCAGGCAAGGGAAGAGCAGGTGGCAACCCAGAGCTGGAAGCGATCTGCATACAGGAAGGACAGCACATGCATCTTCATGCTTTTTCAGTCATTCCTCATGCTGAAAGATACAAGAGCACCCTCAGGTGCCCATTTGTTGGAGAATACATCCAGAAACCTCACTGAGCTTTAGCTTAGAAATAGCATCTTTTTCTCTATGTGTGTACAAGGGCATATATACTTGAGCACATCTGTGCACGCTGCAGAGCAGCTCTAGAAGGGAGAGGACACTCACATTGCTCCGGTCCTGGTACATACATATCAGGCAAGGACTCCGTGGGCTGTCCTGCTCGCCTTGGGGCAGGGACTGGCTCTGGCTTTTGCTATGGGTGCAGCCAGGTGTGGCTGCTGCATTGGTTCAACAGCCTGCCTGCTGCTGGGCATCCCGCCACCTCTGCTGCTCCATGCTGGGAAGGAAAAAAGTAAAATAAAACCAGTCAGGATCAGCACGCCCGCGGAGAACAATCATACCTCTCCTACTGGGAGCTGCTTCTCTACCCAAAGACACGCAGTGCTAGATGCTGGCTTCGCTAGGACTGGGACATGCCATGTAAGTAGCACATCTGGAACTGGCTGCTCTGTGGCCTTTCAGGGGTTGTTTTGCAGCAGTCAGGGCTTCAGCTGGATGCAACCACAACACGGAATGCTTGGGAGAAGCTTCAGAGATTTAGTTTTTAGAGTTCATTACTTTTCCCTCAAAATCCCCATTCAAATTGAGATTACTTGTATGTGATCTCAGTTGACAAATGACGTTTTGTCAGAAGGTGGCTGAGGTTCTCCAGTTTAAGAAGTGTTACACTTTTAAAGCTCTACGTTTACAATAGATTTGGTTATTTTTGAATCCTTGTGACATTGGTGTACTTAAAAAGCACTCTGAGAGACAAGACAGCTGTGTGGGCAGAAGTGAGGAATAGGTAGGTCTCCCTTCTATTGCACCATGAGATAGAAGGAGGTTGGAATTAAGTAAATTTTTATCACATTAGAAAATATATACTGTCTGAAAGCATTTCTAATAAAATGCAAAATTCTCTTTCTTAGTACTCTTAACAAGTATATTAGCACCTCACTGGAGCATTTTATGAATTCAGTTCTCTGTTCTGTCTAAATGCAGCATCACATACATCTCCAGTTCCCAGCGATCTTGCCCCATTCCCACTGTTTCTGGGGCACCCCTGGCAGCCTGGCTAGGGAGTGTGGCCCCATGTGCAAGCTGCAGGTAGCCACAACCTCAGCCAGGTCCTCCATCCTGCTTTATGCTACATATCTTCAGAAAGGAGAATTTTGAGTGTTATTCCTGGCTCGCCATGGATCTGCTATGCCTGAAAACCAGGAGGGGTAATGGCACTAATCTTTATAGAAGAGCAAAAAGGTGTATGCATAAAACTTCCATAGAACAATGGAACCCATCTCTGCTGGAACATCAGTAATACAAGCCCATAAATTACTGAGCCACTGTTCATATTTATTACAGCAGAATTTCAAAACTGAGTGTCTGATTTCATTTTCACAGCCCCCCCCCCCTCACCTCCTCAGTAGTGAGGGAAAAGGTATTTCTTACAAATAAGATTCTTATTTCAGTTTTCATTAGATTGTTTGTCAAGAAGAGCAGCTGTTGATGAACTGATTAAGATGCACTGGGGATGGCTCAGCCTAAAGAAGAAAAGACACAATAACAGATTTCAAATATGTAAAAGGCTGCAACACATAACAAAGAAACAGCTTCCCCTCCCAGTCCCCATTCAGGATGGACAAAACAGTAAGTTTTTAATTGCTACAAGGAAGATACAGATTAGACAAATGTACTGTATCATGAATGCTATCACAATATTGGGATCTTGTTCAGGAAAGCCTTAGAGACCAAATTAGCAGCTGTCAGACATGGGCACGAGCAGCCTGCCTGACTGTTGGGCACTCTTCCAGGCTTGTGATTGCAGTCATTTCCCACCGCCTTCCCAGTATTTTCAAACAGAACCCCCTGAAGCAGCATTAAAACCCCTCCTAAACCAAGTGAAATAAAATGACTGGGCAGAGCTCTCCCAATTCCTGCACCCACACATGCATGTAAAATGGGACCAAATTACAAACAACACAGCCATGCAATGGGCTGATGTTCAAACCACCAGCACAGATTTCTCTGTTCATTTCAGAGGCACTACTTACCTGCACAGGGAAAAGCATTTGATGGAAATACTGAGTGGATCCATCCACCTGCTAAGTCAACAGCAATAAGCCAGGACAGAGACAAATGAAGGGGTCAACAAACACTTCATAGCTCAGCACTCAGATCAGCAACCCTACACCTGAAACTCAAAGCCTAAGGCAGACCTGCTGTCCTGGAAACAAGAAGCCCCACTGTTTAACTGACATTCCTCATGGACTCCAAACATAAAACTTCCTGGTTCTACAAGCACACGCTGCTATTATTATTTGTTTTCCACAGAAACTATCTTGAATAATTTCCTGTAAAGTTTGTTGCAAAAACGGAACCTTTTCTTGTGAAATAGAATATTTAAGAAATAAAATAATAGAATATTTAATTCAGCACACACTGCAAAATTTACAGACCTGAGCACGAATTTGTAAACAACACAATTGCAACAAGCTGCACATACTTCTGCTTCCTTGCTTTGGGAATTGGCTCTCCACTTAATCAGCATCCCACTTAGCTGCAGTATTCAGCTGAACTAAAGATAGATGAGATGTGCCAAGAGGAAGTGAAAGAACCACAGAACTTTCAAATAACAATTTAAGAAGTAAACGAAGCACCAGCAGTTTCAATTCCTCGCTGTTTTCCCGAAGCAGGAATTTCCTGCCCTATAAAGTGATCCAGTTATTACAAGAACTTAGGGACACACCAGGTAACTGCAGCTCCCAATTTTAGCTGTAAAGAAGTCTTGCAAAGTTCAGAAATTCAGAAAGCTCAAAATGCAATGCTCCTAAGGGAACAATGTAGCATTAACAATAAACATTCTCAGCATCTAGAACAAACAAAAAAACACCTCTGTGGAAACAAGAACAGTCTTCTGAAAGTATCTGACTGTTGTTGAGATCTCCTGACATCTTCTTGAGACAACAATCTTGACTTGGTATCCAAGGAATAAACCTAGAAGCTGAACTTTTTCACATTACTTCTATTAAGAAAACCTTTCTGGCTTTTTTCTTTCTTTCTTTCTTTTTTGATCCTTCAAACTGTCCTTTGTGGTATCATTTTCACTTGCTGATACAAATCAGATCTGCACTGCAGACCTCCTGGTCAGGCTTCCTTAAGGACAACTGTACTATCCCGGGCATCATCATTCTCCACAGTCATCACCAAATTCCTCCTAAGTTCTGTTACAGCTGCTCTGCCATCAGAGAAACAAAAGCGTTGCTTAAACTTCCATTAAATCATTTCTCTATGGATTTTAGGAATACTTAATATCATGAGTACCTACAGAAAAACAAACAGCAGATTATTATAAAAGGAGGACACTTCAAAAGGAAAATTCAGGCAGCACTGGCACAAGCAACCTACCTGGAACACCGTCCCCTCCTTACAGGAGGCCAGCAGCACTGCTACCATGCTCTGGAGCCCTGAATCTCTCCGTGGTAGCGCAGGGTGGCTGTAGTGCAGCGTGGGGCATCTGCACTAACACAGTATGAAGATACACAAACTTTCTGTACTGTGACACAAGCACAAAGTCTGTCTGAAAAACATGAAATTGATTCAGCTTTGCTCTCAACATTCAAGCAATGACAGAGCAATCCCCAAGCACACCCAAACTCCAGGTGAATGAAATTCCAGACTGTTTTTACACTTCAAAAATACAGTTCCTCCTCCGTTTTTAATCCATTAAGTATGCTTTTCAACAAGTTTCAACTTGCTAAAATAAATTGATTTTGATAATGTACTTGCATTAACAGTTAAACAAGATCGAAAGCTATTAGTTTTGAACATATCGTAGTGAATGAGAACACTGTATGACAAAGCACTAATTCCACCATATATTTCCAGTGACACTGAAAACCAACTGTTTGGGTTCCCTGCTGCATTATGACAAGACTGACAATTCCAGAGGAGTTCAAGCCTCTTTATGTATAGCTGGATGGATGCTTTTTCATGTCTAACTATAAACAGTTTCAAATATGTGAAATAAGGCAACAACGATCCTTTGCAAAATTCAATTAAATTACTGTGTAAGAACAGATGAAGTGAGACTGCATTACTGGACAGCAACCTGCCCACACCTCACCCAAATCCTTGAAGCAGCTGCACGTAGCTGGGAGCATCACCAGACTCAGCCTCTCTTCCACAAGCGTATGGGCAAGAAAAAGGACAAAGGCCTTGAAACACACATGTGAAAAAGCAGCTCTACTACACCAAATGCACAGTGCTAAACTGATGCCGAGGACAACCTCAGTTTTCAGACGGTCTGCTGTTCATTCACAATGAGTATGTAACAGCACAACGTATTTTTCCACTGCTTCTTGCATACTGTCTTAAATGAAAGCATGCCAAAACAAATATCGTTCACATCTACCGCTTTCCCAACTCAATCACCTGCAAATCTTCTGTACCAAGCATTAAAAATTACCGTGATATAACATTCAGCCAAGATAATATCAAAATATATTTTATTCTGGACCTCTTTCAGATCTGATTCAAATTACAGTTGTCAAAGCAATACAATGCAAAGGGAAACTGCAACAGAAAATGTGCCTAGAAGGGATATAAGGGCCTTGGGGACAAATCATTGTGATGTAGAACCAAAATACATCATAAAGTGTAATTAACATGGTCCAGGACAGTATAGAACATCTATATCAGTCTTCCTTAGACAATAATCATGAAAACTGAACAATAAAAGTCCTTTAAACAAGTACAAAAAACTGTCATGGGCTGGTTTACACTTTTACAACAGCTGTAGTTTAACTGGATAACTGAAGAAATGATGCAGACATTTTAATCCAGTGCTATAGGTAGGCTCACAGAATTAGACCCAAAGGATTTGTAACTCCAAATGAAACCATTACAACTACAATGTCAATGTCAGGAGAGAGAGAAAATTACTTCTGTATTCTAGAATTACTGTTCTGCACACTGCAGTCTGTTGAGGACAAGATTGCAAAGTACACTGGACTAGCAACAACATGCAGACTGGTTTCTTGTATTTACCCACAAATGACAAAAACATCATGAAGTAAAAATGAATGATTATTTAAAAAAGAAAACAAAACAAAACGTGCCTTAAGTCATCGTCAAGCTGCAAACTTAAAGGCAGAGAAAGAGAATATGTACTCAAAACTACTGATCTGAAGCACTATTAACACTAAATCCGCCATCTGTAAGACGTGGCAGATCTTCCTGCCTTGTCTGCCTTCAGACTGACAGTGAAGACAGCCACGCTTTCACAGAACGTGGGATTTCAGAGCTTTCTCTAGAGGGAGATGTGAAGACTGCTCCTTGGCTCTCTCCCTAAGGAAAATGTCAGGGATCTTTGATGGAGATTTACTGCTGTCTCCGGAAGCCTATTTGCTTCTAACATGCCACAATGTTGCTTCTGCTTTCTTCAGACTTCTGGAGAGTGTGAAATGATCCCCCCAGGGAACAGCTCTACAGGGCTTTGTGAAGTTAGAAGACACAAGGTTCCTCAGTGGGAAGGAACACGGGCTAAGAGCACAGCCCTGCTCCGGGGGCACAGCCCAGCTGCTTGCAGCAGCAGCAGCCCTGGCTCCAGCGAGGCGCTCGCCCGGCCTACGCAGCACAGTGCGGTGCGACACAGACCCGCGTCTTCCAGCACTCATTCTGGCAAAGTTTTCTCATGAAGCGAAAGACAATGGGATTTCTGATCGAGTCGAGATTGGAAAATTGGGTCCCAAGGCTCCTCTTTGCTGAACGGACAAAAACATACAACCTTTTATTTACAAGCTGAAAAACCCAGTTTGTAGTTTTAAGGAGATTCCTTCATTCAGCAGAACCGAACGTGTCAGCTGCTAAACTGCTCTGCGGGCACCGCTGCCCGATTCCACCGAGCCTTCCTCCTGAACACAAAGAACATCTCAAAGGTACAGCGTCCCATTAAACGCGCCCTAGCATGAGGTAAGCAGTGTAAGGAAAAAGGAGTGCTTTTAAAAGGAAAATTAATTAAAATTGGTAGAAATCTTTGGCCTTTCTCTCAAGATGCATTAAAGTGTCATGAAATGAAGAAACATGCTTCAAAATGCCACGTCATTCTGACTCTGGTAACTATTACCTCCCTCCACCCAACCCAGAAAAAGAGGCACTTTTAGTGTTTCATATAAGATTTCCAATCATCTAGTAGACACGCTAAATAACCCTGCACAATTGTAGTCCCAGAATAAACTGAGTTTATCAACATTATAAAGAGTCTAAAAAAGCTTTTACGAGGACCTAGATATTCTCTTAACTACACTAAAAAGTCCACTGGTTGGGAATCTTTACATCGATTTAAAAACGCAGGAAAAGATAAAGCAAAATAGAAAAAGAGGAACTCTACGGAAACCTGGACCTAACTATGCAGAAATGAGCAACGGGATTCTGACGTCGATGCATAGAAAAACAGCAAACTGAAGAGCAGTTCCTTTCTTATTCCAGCATTAATTCTGAGCCCAGTTTTTCCCCTTCCTTTTATCCTCTACTTGGATGTCTGCCCATTGACACGCTGAATGGAAAAGTAACTTCCACGCAGGCAAAGGCCTACGCACACATCTGCCTTCACAATGAAAACAGGTGACACAGAATTCATCTCTACGTAAGACTAAGCATGTGCATACACTGATACAAAATTAGGCTCTTGCCGACATTTGGCATACTCAATTTAAAGGAAAAGTTTGGATAGTCTACCTCACTATTGAATACGAGGTCTTTGTGCTATAAAATGTAATAAATGTATGGTTTTCTTCTTTTTTGTGTGTGTGAATTTTTTTTTTTTCTTTTTACTTCACAGAATCACAGAACCTAGCACACCTGGCATGCATGCAATTAACAGTGTATAAAACAAGAGGCAAAAAGAGGTGTGAGCAGGAGCAGCACTGTGGCATGCTAGTAAAGGACAACAATAAAACACCTACAGCCAGGCCCGCTGCTGTGGGACCCGGCACAACTGCGCTGCGGTGCGGCACGTGAACACTGGGTCGGGGCGTTAGCCTGCGTGTCCAGAGCACTCGAGTCAACAGAACTGGCACTGCTGGACTGTGCTTCGAGCACCCGAAAACCCTGGACCTCTGAGACTGAAGCTCTGTTGTATCTATTTATGAATATGTGATACTATGCTTAAGCAACTAGAATTACAACCAAAACAGCTGATGATTGAGAAAGAGGAAAATGGCAATACCCTAAAACATGGCTGTGTGATTTTGCAGCTATGTCACAGAATTCCACCACGACTGTTTGGATTGGCTGAAATAATCATCCAATAACTTTTATGAAAATGAATAAACTGTCCATATTAAAATACAAAAGTACTATCAAGAATCACTTCTGACTTTCAGATTTAAATTCAGTGCAATTGACAAATGCATTGCAAAACGAAAAATGCAGCTTAAACATACTCAAAACATTTGTGTCTATTCCTGGGAGCACAGTTTAAAATTATTGCACAGAATTTTTATTTTTTTTTTCATTAATGACAGAGGTCAGCCACAGTCATGGACCTCCAGCAATAAAAGTAATATTTCAAGTGCCAGACACTCAATATATTAGGCTTCCTACGTACTGTAACTCACGGAGTAATTGCTCTAAACATTTGTAATATGTTCCCAAACCCTAAAAACAGCTGGCACTGAACCATCACGGATGACTGCCTTTATGGATATGATTTTTTTTTCTTGTTTTTAAATGCTATATATGATAGAAGAATATTCCTGGGGTATATATAAAGAATGCATTGTTGACTTCTCTTTACCACTGGCAAATTGCTCCCCTACCTTAGTCAAACTCAGACTTGCTTCAAGTCATGTTTATTCCATGGAAATAGCAGAAATCAATGCCTAAAGGACAACTGTTAAAACGTTAAAGCTGCACTATCTTGATTAAATCAATTTATACATAACTTGGAGGGGAAAAATAAAAGAAAAAAAAATAGCAATCAAAAGCCACAAAATTATTTGTGATTGAAATAGTGTTATAAAACTGATAACTTCACAAAGCTCTCTCTGTAATATAAACCATTCCTTAAGTAAAATGCCTGGGACATAAATTTGACCTCTCCTTTGTATAAATTTACACTCTTGGAATCGTATGCAAGACTTGATGCAACCTTCTCAACTACACGTACGCGTAAACACAAACTCATGCTATCATTTACAAATAAAACCACTATCAGTATATTTTTAATCACATGAGCAGAAAAAGGTTTGCCATATACATCTGTCATTGTAAGAAAAATACTCGATATTGTAAACAGAGTAAAAGACACTATATAGTAGTGATTATTAAAAAAATAGCAGCTTACATCTACCCTATATTTGGAAAAAAATGTAGTCACATGATACAACAAACTGCAGGACTGGAGCAGCAGGGGAATTAGTGCAAGTATTCATCTTTTAAATAAGCTGAATCACTGCTATTAAAATAAACTTGAAGCAAGTCCTCTGTTTAAGATATTTTTTTAAATCTAAGGTAGTAAACATTTTGCCTCTTAATGGCAGTGTTATCAAATATATGCCAAAGATTTTATTTTAATAAAGAAAAATTACATGAGACACTTTTAATACTGGAGTTTGGTTACAATTATACATCTAAGCTCCTACAAATAATGATGGGCAACTCCCAGAGAAGCTGTGGCATGAACCCTTGTCCAGAAAGATCTTAACAAATCCCCCAGCTATATTTTGCTCCTCTTCATAATAGTGCACAATTTATCTGTCTTTAACCATATTTTAGCTATGGTCTTAAAGCCACAGAAGATGCATTTCATTTTCCTCTTTTTTGTCCTTTTTCTTTTTTTTTTTCTTTTTTCTTCTTTTCTTTTTTTTTTTTTCTTTTTTTTTTTCTTGCATCCCTGTATTTTTCTTTTCTGTATTTTTGTGCCTTTCTATTCTTTAGTTTGGCAGAATTACGTCCCAAATAAGACACTACTGCATTCCAGCCATGTCACCAGAAAATAAAACATAGCGTCATACCCATTACTGTCACACTTGGTAGATGAGCAGGACGTGAAATATCACGCCTCAAAGAAGAATTTTTTTCTTTTCTCTCCATAATCCCTTTTCCACCCTCCTTCTGTTCACAAAATTGTGCTCTGGGAGTCACAAAATGTACCAAACATCGTCAGGTTCAACCTACCTCCTCAAAGAATGCATTCAAATATGTTTCAAAGAAACACTTTTTTTTTCCAAGGTGATAAAAAAAAAAACAAAAACCATAAACAGGAAACTAATTCACTCCCTTACTTCATGCATCCGTAAACTTAACCAAAACAAAACAGAAAACCCAATGGTTAAAAGCAAAGAAAAAACTACTGCTGCAGATTTCTGTAAGTCCGTTTTCTCTGTACACACAAACTGCTCAACTACTGAAAAGGAAAATAAAAAAAGAAGATACCCCACAATCCATTGTCATAGCGGATTAAGAGGGGAAAAGGGGTAATGAAGGCTGCCATTATATCTTCTGAATTTGGTATGTATGTGGGTCTGCTCTTGTATACGGTATATTTCTCTCTCTCTCGCTCTCTCTTCTGTTTTTCATATCCAAAACATTAAAATGTTATTTTGGGGCACAGCAGATTCCAGCACTTGGTGAATGGGATTCACAAGCTGTGACAAAACTCTGTCATCCTCTTCAGGGTGTAACTTTTTTTTATTTTTATATACAGTATATGTATATATTTCTTTTACGTTTGGCTGTAGTGGACTGGCCATGGTTCAATTGGGACTATAGCAGTACATGGGTCAGGGACAGTCATTTTGGCTATGTACACATTCATAGTCGGTCCATGGCTTCCAACTAGTAGCGCTATTTCCGTAGGTCTAATACACAAACCTGTAAGAAAAGAAATACACATACAGGAAATGCACATTGTATATTACACATTTACACAATTCTGTGTCAAACACCTGAGCGAAACCGATGGAACAGAGCGTGTAACCTTAAATTTGTAAGTGACCTGGGGGGAAAAAATCAGCACATGAGTTCCTGGGTTATCAGCACACAGCCAGACCTGCTAACGGTACTGCTGCCTACTGAACTGCCATCACTCAAAGTATCTTACGTGAGCTGTTTGCCTGTTACTTCATATTAGAAGGTTGGGAATTTAACCGAATCTTATTTTGAAAAATATAGTCGAATTGAATTAAAAACAATTAAAAAAACACTTTCAGAAAATGCATGAACTGATCAGAATACTCTAAAAAAATAAAAAATTAACATTGTATAAATACCAACTTTAATTTTCTAAAGCCTTCACTAAGTAGTGCTCCTAGTTCTGTCAGATATAGCAAACCAACCACAGACAAGCTACACTTTTAGTCATCGAGAGGTTCCAAAGCGCTCCTATTCGCCCAGCTATTGCCAGCTAAAAATGTATTTAAAACAGAGGGGATGAGGTGGACTTTTAATAACAAAACATAGAAAGGATACATTTTAGAAGATTCAAATGAAAATCATAAATAAATCTGTTGCAAGTACAATTAGCCTCTTGAGTCAAATTAACTGAAGACTGGAAAGGTTACATTGCATGTATGTAAGAGTAACCTTGAGTGGAATGGCAATTAACTTCCACTCAGTTTATGCTATGAGATTTTTGCTCCTTTCAGGAAATTTTCTGCAATCATATGACAAAATGAAAAACAACCAGCCACCCCGAACAGATTTCTACATTAAGCACCAGAAGGGACAGGGAATTTAAATTAAATGCATCTTCTGACTTTGGAGGGTTTAGAACAGTAACATATCAAGCTGGAATAAAGACATTCTACTTTCAAATTTTAAAAACTTTATATGAAAAACATCTACATGAAAGCTGCATGTATTTAAATATCAGGTACATAAGGAAATATCATCTCCACTGTAAGCCAAAATAGGTCGTAAAACTGTTAAACAAGTCAAGCTACACTTACTGAACCATCTGAAGCACTTGCTCCAACTTTGTCTCCTGCTGCATTCCAGCAAACCTCAAAAATCCCTCCTGTTCCCCTATAACTGTGAACTAGGGCACCTGTCTAAAAAGGGACAAAACATGTAATTAATATAACAAAATACATGCGATCAAGTACATTTCTACTACATGTAAAACTGCTGTCATTTTCAATAGCTGAAATTCTCAGGAGAAATGGTTGAGATTCACAGACTATCCAAGAACTGTGTGAAAGGACATGACAAACAATTACTGCATCTTAATCTCCCGTGTTTTAAAGGTGAAACTATAGCTGAGTTTGATCAAATTATAAAATATCCCATCCCTGGTAACCAGAGATCTCACCTTGCCTAACAATGTGGGTTTTACATTTTCATCTTCCTTCAGTTCTCTGACAGAAAAGCAAAGTAATAGCATTCTTTCTCAGAAAGTTTTGCAAGATCTGTCACCATCTTCTCTCATTTTACATTCTTTTGCTTTTCTACAACGTTCAATGAAATAGCTATCAAGTATCAGATTTGTACGCCTACATTCACTTAACATTTTTTCACAGCAAAGCTAATTTATCAGGAGTTTAAATGTCAGAGGTAACAATTTTTGGATGCAACATGCTACTGCAGGGACTGCTGAATGTGTCTCGAGGCGTGGTTTTGGGGGTCTTTTGGGGTGCCTTCACCACAGGCAGGTACACTTCACATAGAGAGAAAAATTTCATGTACGTCCATTAACAGAAGAAACCTTAGGACAAGGAGAAGGTAAATCAGCACATTACTAAGGGCAAAGTTCTCCAGGTCCAAAAAAAGATGATGTAAGTAAGGTTGGAAAAGTACCAGTGGAAAAGACTGAGAAAACTTTCTAAGCAGACAGAAGAGCTATACCTGTGTGTTCCAGATGTGTACACATTTATCAAAGGAGCCGCTGGCCAGGTACCTGCCGTCAGGACTGAAAGCTACACTGTACACAGGTTCTTGATGTTTTGTCAGAGTATGAATACAGATTCCTCTGTCTACATCCCATAACCGAACAGTAGAATCAAAGGATGCACTGTCAAGGAGAAAAACACACATTAATTACTTCTCAGTTTTTGCACAATTTTGTTTTTAATACAACTGTCATAGGACAAAGTATCCTACGCAGTTTGAAACATTTTGCACGTACACGTAAGTAAAGAACCAAAGTAAACATTGTGCACAATTTCTTTAAAAAAAATTTTTAAAAAACAACCTCTAAAAACAGGATTAAGAAGTACCTTGCTAACATAAGATTGGCATTTGGATTATTTGTTCCTGGTCCCGTAGGACTCCATTTGATAGTATAAATTTCTTTGTTGTGTGCTTGTAAGTCATGGACACAACTGTCTTGCTTCATACTCCAGATCTACGATAAAATGGAAGACAACACAAAGACATTCAGCACAGTATTGTACACAGATACTTCTTATACCTTTATCTTCTGCAGCCCGACCACTATCTTTTAAGCTACTCAAAGCATTTTCTGTGACTGCTGTGTTTCTACAGTAATTACAGTACAAATTATTTCAGAACTCAATAAACAGAGGGCACAAAGTATCTGATGGCTTAGTAAGTAATAAAGTTATTGTCTACAAAAACCAATCTAAATGTGCTAACTACAAGTCACTTGGAAAGTGTATGGAGAATAACAGATGCTAAAATGAGAAGAGCAATATGTATATGTTCATGTCTGAGTTGACAAAATATCACAGTCCTATTTTTAAACGAAATTCCTTCTTGCTACACAGATTGAGTGAATCAGAGTAGGAAAATGTGCTGTTTTCATGCAAAGTAATAGATGCACAGTGCAAAAGCCATTATGACATTTTCTTGGCTTATTATGACTGGCATTGCCAGGTGTTTGTGCAATATTTTGCACAGAAGAGGAGCTCCTTAGGATTCTAACTCATCCATGATATTCTACAACAAAAACAATGAAGTTATTCTATTAAGAGTTATAACAGTTACGCAATAATTATTTGGAGGAAACATGTTGGTACAATTAAAACTATAGAATGCTCTGGCTGAAGTGGAAAAACAAGGATGCACACCATCTTACAAGAAACAACGTGCTTAGGGTTTTAACTAGAAAGAAGGGGAAAACAGAAAAAACTATAGAAGGATCTAGTCACCATTTCTTGTACGTGTTAGAACATTACATGCATTCCAACTATTCCTTTTAACCAAAAGCAACCAACAAGTGTGACAGCTTAATGATTAATGACTTCATTTTGTAAACAGCTAAAAGCACCTAATACATCACGCTCCAAGTCTCAAGGTGGCAGCCTGTAACAAGCTCACTGGACCAAAGCTTGGCTCTGATTAGCAAAGGAATTGCTGGGATTGCCTAATCTTGTTACATCAAAAAAGAACTAATGTTAAGACAATACAGAGTGTGCAGTGAAATGGCTCCATTGCCTGCTCAAACTAATGGTGTGTTTTCCAAAGTCCTACGAAGACAACAACCATTACTCCCATTACCTTTAGAGTCATATCATCTGAACAGGATGCCAGAAGATTACCAGTTGGATCCCATTTGATTGCATTTACTTCATTCTAAAATTGAGCAATGAGAGTAGATTAGAATTTTCACTTCCATGACAAATGACAGCATACAAAAGATGAAGTTGCAGTTGCAATTATTTGCGTAATTACCACTATTTTAACATTTAACTTTCATTCCGCACGCAGCCTTAACACAACATGATACATAGAAAAATCTAAAGTTAATCTGTTTCTTCTTCTAAAGCCACCCTGGTAGAAGAAGCTGCATATAGGAGAAAATATTTTCATCAGAATAACAGAGTTTATCATAGGATCTTAACTACATCTACCTGGGTACGTATCTATTGCCTTTTGCCAAAGACCAATTCTTACGCAAGCACTGTATACTGGCAAGATTAGTGACACCCCCTGCCCACCCCATCAGCCTCATTAATAAAAACACCATAAAATTTGTCATTTTCCAGTACTTACCGTGTGACCCTGGAAGGTTTTGATGGGCCTATCTTGTCCTAGTTTACAGACATGAATGCACATGTCTGTGCTGCAAGAGGCAAATGTGTTGTTGCTCTGCCAATCAACATCTAATGCTGGTGCTAAAAGAACAAAATATTTAAAACTGTGGTGTGTGCTCTGCAGGAATTTGATTTACAAATTTAGCATTCGCCACCTTCAAACAAATCCCAACAGGAAGCAGCTATTAATTTTACAGCAGTTTTAAAGACTATCAAACACTTAAAACAGTGAGAAGCCAAAAAGTCTTACCAAAAAATATGGTATAAAACAACAAAGTCACTGAAACATGGGATATATCTGAAATGAAACAGTTACACAGAACAGTGCGCAACAAGAAAGCAAGCTATCGTTAAGTCACCTCAAAGTAAATCTCAAGAGCCCACCCAAGACATCCTCAGAGTTTACAGTGCATATGTTTGTGCTCACTGATGTCAGCCAGTGAAAGGGAGTATGATTTAATCTATTTATTTATTTTAATTTCAGCATTTTAGGGTGTGGTAACTTGAGGCTTAATCATGGTCCACATATTCCGTTTGGCCAGGATGAGTTATTTATGGCCAAGAGCACACAGAATTGCTAGGAGTAAATCAGGAACTGATGTTTTTGATTGCTGCCATGCTACCAAAAACATAGGAAAAGTAAAATAAAAAGTCGAAATGAGACATTTCTTAAAGGCCCTTCAGTGATTTGTACATCATCTTCTCTCTGCTGTTTTCCAACTGATCCTGGCAGGCCTGCTCAGCACACAGCCCGCAGAGCCATTTGTCTGCCCTCCCAAGAGGTAGCTCTCTCATCCCAGCTGGCCAGCACACAGGGCCTTTAGCTGCTTTGTGGCCAAACAAATTGAGGACAGCACAGCAAGAAGTAAGGAACAACTGGATGTGGAGATTGGATTACTGTAGCAGGATGATGACAAAAGCAATCCTTAGCTGGTAAACATAAATCTTGTGCAGGCCATCCAGACTATGTCTGCCCCTACACTGCAGTGAGTTGATAATACTTGGACCATCTCTTATGATCTTCCATGCAACTGCAATAAAATTGTGACTTATAACATTTTAAAACTACATGAGACTACAAATATGGGAGTCGTCAGTATTTGAAGACTGCCTGTAAGACTTCAAAAAGGTGTGAACGGACTCCATAAACTTCAAGTACGTTATTTTTCAAATAAATGACACATTTGGAGGTTTTCCAGACAACAAATGCGAATGAGCAAAATCAACACTCACCAGAATGAAACGGAAACTGCTGCTTGGCTTCACCAGTGTGGGCATCCCAAATAATTGTGGTCTGTATTGAACAGATAAATTAACAATAAACACTTGCACCAAGTGCTAGCTCCCCACAACTTCTGCCATTCACACGTACCAAATTACCTAGCCTGCTTCCCATTGCCCACATCTACAGATGGCTCAATACTTCAAATGTTTCACCTAGTACTAAAGGAACTAGTGGTAGAGTACAGACAACAGAAGAGAACCTTAACATGCTGTAACACTAAAAAGGTGTTCATGGTAACATACTGGGGGTCTGAAGGGGAAAAAAAGGGGGTTCTGATGTTGTTGGTTTTTTGTTTTTTTTTAAATTAAATAAATGTATCTCCTCAGTTCTATTTATATTCTTCTAATCCACACTGCACACCTAATTTAAAGTACTCGTATATTCAAATTGTAATTTCAAATACTTGTCTGTCCCTGTGGAAATCTTTATACAAACACTGCCTCATAAATCAAACCTTTCAGATTTCTTCATTTTTAAGTACGGGTGTAACTTTGATCTGAACTGTCCTCTGCATTCTGCTGTCTTTCCCATGGAAGAAATCTTCATGACAAAATTGGTATTTTGTCATCACTGCATTACACGCTCATGTTCCTGACCTACCTTAGCAATGAAAATTTTCATCAATAAAAACTTTGAGACTGAATTCAGTGGAAGTATGAACTGATCACAAATTATTTATGTTAACAAAACAAAAGGTTGAGTCAATCTTTCCACTAACGCAGAATATTTTTCAAAGCATAATTTCAGTTCCTCTGTCAATGAGTTTTATTGACTGAAACAATGAGGCTTTATCTCCTACAGCATATTTTTCTGCAAATCAAAGCTGTAGTTCCACAAAGATGTTAAAACTGGTATAAGCTATCCAAGCTGCCAAGAGGAAATCCATCCTTTCCAGATTTTGAAATATTTACTCTCTTCCTACCTTTGCGTCAGCAGAAGTATTTAGAAAGCTCAGTACTAAAGCAAAGCAAGTTAATTTAGGAAAGAAAAGCCATATAAAGAGAGGAAAATCTCTGAGGATTATATTACTACCCTAGCATGGCACTGCCAGTTTTGAATGTTGCAGAACTGTGGTTTTACTTCTGCAATCTGAATAGGTTAAAACAGGAAGAACTAAACAACATCTATTACTCTTTGAACTCGCTTTAGGTCTATTCTTCATCACTACTGTATCCTTCCTACCATTCATAAAAACTCTCACATTAACAACAATTTTCAGTTTAAAGACCTTGCGAGCCTTTACATTTGTTCAGAGGCACGAATTCAAACACGGTTAAACAATGGGCTTCATGGCATTACACTGCTGGCACCTCCCCAGTCAGATATATTGACTTTCCTTATGCTCCAGCTTTAACCTTTTAAATCATTCTCAGGGTTGACTGATATCCAAATCAGCGCTGATCTGTTCCCCCAGTATGTTTTTTTTCCTCTGAGGCTTTGCATCAGGTCATTCAGTAAATTTCAGATTATTTGCTTTTATAAAGGTTTAACATTACTGTGTTCAATGCACTTACTTTCCAGCTTATGCTAATCTAATTGGGAAGAGATCCAGGGGCATTAAATTCTAATGAATTTGAGTATTTCAGTAGGCTGTTATAAAACACAATGAAATACAGCTAGCACAACAAGTTCTTTGTAAGTACATATTTATGTCCCATGCCTTAAGTTTAAATTCAGTTATTTACTTCTATGGCTTTGTTACTATGTTTACAATTAGATTACAACGGTGAAGTAAAGAATTTTAATTTTACCAAAGATTATCTCACCTTGTCCACTCCTGCACTTAAAATGAAGTTTCCTTTCTTGTTCCATTTTAACGCAAATATAGGACCTTTATGTTGCCCTAAGGTGCTGGCAAGATTACCTGAAAATTTATATTGATATGAATACATTAAAAAAATAAAAAGCTGTGTTGTGAGCCACAATACAGGAAATATACTGAAAACTATGAAATATTTCACTTACCATCTTTAGTCCATATCCTTGCAAAGCCATCATAAGACCCAGTTGCTAGAAGTGTACCTTCACTCTGCCAGCAAAAAGGTTATTTGTTTAATTTTGCACAGTTCAAGGCTAAGGAGCACAATGCAAAGTTCAAGTGGAAGATATCTGTGTAAGATTGATGATATTTATTCCACAGACTGCAATTATTAATAAGAAGTCCCCAAAGTATAATAGAAGAAATTACAAGGCAACTCAAAATGAGGTACACCTCTGGAGAGGTAACAGAGAATGCACAGTTGGTGGCACTTAGAATTTGACTATGCAAAATTGCAAGCATGGTTTTCTCAGAGTATTCTGTGCAGTCATTTCTACTCACGTTCCAATCTAGGGATGTCACATCTTTGTTGCTTGGTACATCCTGCCCTCCTTCTCGTATACAGTGTCGAAGTACCAGCTGCGTAGAGCCGCTTGTGCTGTTCTCACTGAGGTTCCATATCCGTGCTGTTGAATCTCCAGATCTGCAAAGCAGTGAGGAGGATATAACCCCTTCTCTCAGTTCATTTCAAAGTGTTTTCCATTCAAAACAGTGAATGTTGTGATATTTGACATAGGGAGCATTGAGACTGGTGTTATTTTACTTGCTTCCGTAAACAAAGAAAAAAGTACACAAATGACCATCAATATTCTGTAAAGATGTGGCTAATGCACATACCCTGAGGCCAAAAGGTCACTAACGGGATTCCAGGCACAGATGAATACTTCAGATTCATGGCCACGCAGCACCACTGCTTTGTTGGGAGGGATTTCGACATCACCATCTACTTCCATCATATCTGTGTGATTATCTGCATTATGGGAAACAACAGTAGAGAGGAGGAAAACTTTAATATTTTGGACTTACATGTTTTAACTGCTCTGTAATTAAGATTCTTTTCGAATGAGCACAATTAACTCACAGTGTACACCGACCAAAATCTGACAAAGCTGTAATGTTTCTTTATTTTTCAAGTACCAATTTTTGAAGTACTATGAAAGATAGGGATTTAAAAAAAAAAAAAAAAAAAAAAAAGCAAGGAAGAAATTGCACTTGCAAACCTCAGGATCCAAGACGACTTTATTCTGAAACTCAACAAAATAATTTTTGGCTTCATTTTTCATGCTGAAAAATAAACACTGATTTTAACAGTACTCACAGTTTTTCATACAATATATTGCTTGACACGATAAGCTGCAAGTCTATCTTGTGCTTTAAAAATATGTTTATGACAGGTTGGTTTTCAAAAAATCTTTTCAGAATTGAGCTCAAACAGGTTTTAAATCTACACTTCAGACACTTTGCTTCCAAAATGGCTTTGATTAATATAATAACATTTGGTGATACGGTAAACTGATAACGCAGCTTCTTAAACTGCATTGGCAATTACTGTGAAATTGTGGCAATAGGCAGCTCTTTGTGCGGAAGTGATGCTGAGCTCATTTTGTTCTGCAAATCGCACTGGGGGTAATTCAACTGACAAAACAGTTTTCTTGCCAGCTATCATCAATCATTTTCTATTATTAAAATAAATTCACATCGAGGACGAATGCGGAATACAAGAAACGCTAAGCAGTTCACCTGCTCTGTATTTATTCACTGTGATTAAACAAACTATTTTACATTTATTGCTTAATTTAACATTAAGGGTTTCTGTGACTGTATGCACGTGTGAGAAAACAGAAAAAGCTATTAGGACATGGGTATTTCTCAATTGGCATACCATACAAATCACTTCCATTAAAGAACCGATAGTTCGGTGTGCAGCCAGCAGGGGTTGCTGGTATTCCACATTTACAGTAGCTGAGATCTGTAAATGCACTCATTCCAGTTCACAGTTAACGAACAAATGCTCTTATGAGATTTGCAAATGAAAGTATCAAAGTGGAGAGCTTATTTAAGTCAAAGATTATATTTCCAAGTTTATTTATCATACGTAATAATGAATAAAACAGTAAAATCCAGTTGTAAAACGCAAAGCTCATACCTGGCCTGATACAAATACACACTCAAAAAGGCCTTTTCCTTAGGAGCTGCTACAGCAAAAGCAGACTCTAACAAAGCTCATTTCTGACCTCTCACTGTAATGCCCTACCTGAACTTGTGTGTAGCAGCCCAGCTGTAAGCTATGCTCCTTTGAACAGCGATGATAAATAAAACTCACTTGTTTCCCCAAGCACAACTGAAACTGTGAAGTTTAATAAACCAATGCACAAACAAAACTGGCAAGCACTTGCATCAAACAATCCTGCACAATGAATCGTGAAAACTGACACTGATAAAGGAGACAAAGGACATGGGATTTGTCTTGGCAACTGCTATCTCAGCATGGCAAGGAATCAGTCCAGCACAGAATGAGCCCCAGATCCTGACCCCCTGGGTTAGCAGCACCTGCCAGAAGCAGTGCTTGCTGAAGCATTGCAAGCAGTACTCTGTTTTAACCAGCTAAGGGCAAGCAGAATCCTCTCCCTGCTCCTTGTACAGGGCTCAAGGTTGAGGAGGTGTAATGTTTAAAGAACTGCCTGCTTTTTACTCAAGGCTTCGTGAAAAATTTTCAACTAATAGGAAAGGAGCAGTACTGAAAGTGAAACTCTGTCAAAGGTATTTTCAGATTGAATGAATTCCCAAATTCACATCTCCTGCAACTCCTAATGTTAAAGCATGGACAGTCAAATGTGAGGCACTATTAAAAGCAAGCACTGTCTGCAAGATGAAGGGTTACTAACATCTTTACACATTTAATTCATTCTCTGCTAGCTAAAATTAAGGCCTATGAACATGTTAAATGACAAGGAAATGGCATAACTCAGCTTAAGTTCACTTCTGTCTCCACTTACTTGCTATAGTATGTGCTCCATTCTCTTCCCCGTTTGCGGTATTTTCACCATTTTTTGCTGATCCCTGTTGGTTTGTTGCAGCTGCAGCTGCAGCAGCTGCTGCCTGCTGTTGTGCAAGTTTATCTCTGTAGGCCTGCTGTCTTGTCTGTACCACATCAGGCATCACTGCATCTATCAGTGAGAGAGACTCTATCGGCCTACCATCAAACAAGGTACCATCCTAATTACAACAAGGGAAAGAGAAAAAAAAAAACAACACCAAATACGGATTAGCAACATTGGCAAAAACTCTAAGAAAAACACAAGTAAAAGTTCTAATTTAATACAATAAAAAGGCAACAGTTTACAAATGGTGCAAGAACTAATTTCTCAGCATTTTTGTGGTCAGAATTCGAATTTTACTCTGAAGTGAAGTGGCCACCCTAAGTATGCAAAAAAGCCACTGCAGGCCTCTCTGGCAGAGGTTCTGGAATTACAAGTTACATGCTCCAAGTTTGCTAAGTTGTCTGCTGAAGCAAAAAATATCTGTAAGCTATCTATAAATACCATTTCAAACACGAGTGGCTGCAATGAAATCTAATGGTTTGTTTGAAAAGCTGCAAACATTGCAAGTCAGGTCACTGGCTGGTGAAGTTATTCTATCTTATTTGACTAATACTTTCCATAAACACATTATCCAGAGTTCACCAGTTTTCCTCCTTTTTTTTTTCCTTTTTCTTTTTTTTTTTTCCTTTTTTTTTTTTTTTTTTTTAACAGTGCTGGCATACTTTCAAACAACAAAGAAGAATTTTATCCTGAAATGGACACGACCTAGTTAAAAATACGCTTATACATATGCTGAGGCTTTGTAAGGACCTATTTTTAGGACTTAGAAGGATTCCTTGTGATAAATATAGGGTCTCCTTCTATTCCAATCACTTGGTTTATTTTTCTGAGGCCTCCTAAGGCAAGAGATTTGCCTCGCTGGCACTATGAAAATACATAAAAAGAAGACTGGAAAGATAGCAGAATTAGTGAAAAACTGTTCCTTATCCAATACAGCTGACACACACAAAGGCTGCTAACCTCTGAGGCATAAGGGAGAATGGAAATCAAGAGTGAATATCTGCAGTATCAGGCAGGAAGATGCACAGCTTTCCATACTGCTGGAATAACCATTTGAACATGAAATTCAGTGGATCCTGATCAGGATTAATTTGACAGCAGAGGCAAGAAGCAAACTGACATATACCTCCATCCTTCCTGCCACAAACTGAAACCATTTCTCTATTTGGAAATTTTCCCTTTGGCTTTCATTACACCATTACAGCAACACGTCACCCAAATGAGAGTTGCAGAGTTGCTCTCTTACCTCACTAGAGCAAGTCTACAAAAACAACCAAAAGGTTAGTGTCTCTATAATTACTTCACTGCACTTTTCTGGATTTACTGCAACATTATATTAGGGTAAAAACTCTACAGACAACGGACCTTTAAGCTGTGAGCCAGAACACCATGCCTGGTGTTGTGTGGCTGCACGGGGCAGAACCCCTACCCAGTTATGTCACTCCATTCTGGTTCCACCACTGGAGTCGTGGTGAACACCAGCAGTGAGGAATCTGAAGTAAAAGTAAATAAATAGGATACAAAAAAGTTAAAGAAAAAACACTGAGCATTCAAACTTACTGCAAGCAAGGACATAATGCTCCTGTAGGGAATTCTTACTTACCTCATTAATACTGACTTCCGCCTCTACATACTGCAGACCTTTCTGAATGATGGAAATCAAAGCAGCTGGTGGCACCAGAGCACCATTTATATTGGACTGGCTGATATGGCTCTCTATACCAAAGGTAAATGCTGAATGGGAAAACCCTAAATAAAGGCAAAACCATGAAAATTTATTTACAGATAATGATATTTGCCAAAGTATGCAAGATCTGTATACAAATCAATAATAATAATACAATACAAAGTTAAAGAAACTTAGAGCACATTTTAAAATATGAAAAACACAACGCTTCTGTTTCCCTTTTGTTTCTAATTTCAAAAGTATAGAAGGACAAAAACTAAGTTTATAAAAAGCACAGCAATTGATTTTATTACTGGCAAAATACTTGTGCATGAGAATATGTAAAAAGATAAAATATAGAATGGGCAATGGTATTTAAACAGATTGCTATGTTAGTTTTTCTCACTGATTTGCTATCCATGAAAATAAAATGAACCTGTACATAAAATTAACTGCATGGTATGGTGCTGTCACAACTGTGCCTGTATGGGCACTGATTAAGAAGTGACAGGCACACTGTGATGCAGTACTGGTAGCTGTTTGTTACTTATTAGTCCTGAAAAGTGAACTTAACCTAGACAAAAGTATTTGCTTCAGCAATCACTGACACTTTTTCTGAAGCTACTCCTTTTGTGTTTTGCTGACAGATAACTAAGCTGCCTGCAAACTTCCAAATGAAGATACAGCAATTTTAAAATTTGGCTTCTGTGACTAAAGCTCTCTGCAACTGGAATGAGAATGTGTAATGGCTTTCTGTAAACTCAGGTGAAACAAAGAGTTTCTTCTATCTTCTGACAAGCAGAGACTGAAAAGCTCTGCCATCCATCACTGTTTCTGGTGCTTCCTTGTCTCAGTTTGAGAAGTTGATGTGCAGTGGACAGATGTTGCATCAGTCTCCACCAGCTCTGCAGGAAAGCTGTACACATTAAAGACACAAAGTCTCTTGAATAGAAAAAAAAAAACCAACACACAGCTGCAGGTTTTAAGTACTCGACTAAAGCAAAAAACAAACAAATAAACAACAAACCCTATATGTACACACCTACAAGAAGGACTTAACTGGTTACTGACACCTGGATGGAACTATAAGAAGAGAGAAATACCTCTAACCCTTGAAATTATCTCTGACATTATTTTCCAAAGCCAATTATTTATTCTACACCGCTTTTGTAAGACGTTGAGCCGCTCTCATCACCAGGTCACGGCCAGCGGTAACGTGCCAAGACAAGATTTGATAAAATACAAGGAATCTGAGAAGCTGACAACAAAGCCCATTAAACTAGATGTGTAAAACTGGACCAAAGAATTCCATCCAGCCAGTTTTGACTTCTTCCTACTATTCTTAACGTTCTTGCACCCTTTTCTTCACATAAACCTAAGCAATCTCAACAGTTACCTAGGAAAAACTCAGCTAAAGGAGTCTGTCTTCACTGAATTTAATTTTATCACCTATCTGACTTGATGATGCATAACCATGAGACAAGTTTTCAAGAAGCCTGAAGCCCTTCCATCAGCAAACAGTAGAGAAAAATAATAACCAGTAAGTGTTGGAACAGCAAGGTAACATACACAGTGATGTTGATTCCTTCCACTGTCACCATAAGGCCAAGGGCAGACTTCTTTTATGCGCTGTTAAGACCACATACTGCCCTGCCAGCTGATAATCATCATTGGTTCATACACTGGGGCATGCCCTGATTTCCAGCTAAATCTGTGTGGTCTAAATGTGGACTGCTTTAAGCAATCAATATCGTAGCTGTGAGTAAAAGCTAATGTTGTTTCTGCTCCTAGTTTCAAGAGCAACCACCACCACAAAAAGCCCTGTAGCCATACGGTCACATCTAGAAACTCCAACCTGCAACCCAAACTGCTTCTCTTTCAGAAGCTTTTAAAAGCACGCTAAGGGATGGCTACAAAATTCCTACTCGTATTGTACACATGCAGTCAGTTTGGATAAGCACAGCAAAAAAAAAAAAAAAAAAAAAGTTTATTGGTGTGTTTGACAACATTCACCCATGTTTAGCTGTTACTCCTGAGAAGCAGGAGACCTTGGCTGAGCCATGCACAGAAGGATGAAGCCATTTTTTCCATTTGAAATACAGCAACATCTTCCTTTCCCACAGCCACATTCAGGCAAGGAACGTGGTCATGCAACATCAGCTCACAGGAGCACCGGTATGAGGACTTCAAGACAGAGCAGAAAATAACTGTGTTTGTGGATGTCATCCTTCCTTCCCCTCCTCTCCTATTCAAGTAGCCCCAAAGAATACAGTGCAAAGTATTGCTGTGATCCTGTAGCTGAGAAGGATCTCCAGGAAAATGCGTTTCTAGTAATCAAGTGAGTTCTTGGTTGACTGCCATCTGAAATCTCCAAATGACTAAATCTGATTAAGTTACAGAAGGTAACTTGGCAGGAATTCATCCTCTTGTTGAGAAGAAACACCATGAAACAGTTCAGACAGAAGCACATGCCTACTGGCAAAATAATTAACTGAGTTTGCATTTGCTGAAGTCATTTGCAGATGAAAACTAAATAAATTAAACATTGTTAAAACAACCATAATTGAAAAAACTCACCTGACTCTTGTAAGTATCTATAAACCAGGAAGTTAACCTCATCACTGCTTATACTCATCTTTATTCCCAGTTAAACCATGAGGTCACAACAAAGGACACAACCCTAAAAATAAGAAAAGTAGGTTAATTAAACATTTTTTAGGAATTGTAACATATTTCTTAACAAATGCTGTACATCTAGAAATGAAGTAGCTCCCTGGCAGCACAGTCAATGATTTTGATAATGTAAGTCCACCGCAGTCATTAAAATGTCATTTCTCTCTTAGCAACGTTAAGGTCAGTAAATTAAATACTGAAGGGCCACGCTCGCAAATGATATAAAACTGAAATGGACTGGGGAGGTATTCAACAATCAAGTGAGTTTCACCGAATCAACATAACTGCTATGAAAACACATTTTCTCAACATCTGGATAACAATGACTTTGGCATCCAGATTATATCTCACTTCCACTTTCTGATCTACTTCAATGTCCAAGTATTTCTGCTCTACTTAAAGGTATAATATGTCCTACAGCACTGTGTATGTTCAAACCAAACCCAAGTATTTCCACCAAAAATCAGAAAGCATCTCACCCACATACTTATGCTCTATGAGAGTAATCCTTAAAATTAGAGATGAAGTTTAAACAGAGCATGTCAATAACAGTTCTGTGCGCCTTTCATCAGCAATTAAAAATATTTACGGATATGAATACATACATACGTATGTATATATGCAACACTTTTTCCTCAGGACTTTATTAAAGGTGAATATTTAGCAAGGCAAATAATGCATCAAAATATATGTACTTTGGATTAGATATTTGAATATAAAGCAAGAACAGGATTTAAGACATGAAGTCGAGACAGAATACAGTATTTCTTCTTCCTTAAGCCTCACTTTTAAGAACATTCCCATGACTTCTGAATGTTCAAAAATGAAAGTCCTGATGTTTTCCACAACATCACACAAACAAGAAGAAACACGAGCTTCCAGAATAAGAAATGATGTCCACCTCCAGCTCCTAGTAAGAGTAGACCTTAGCAGTGCTTTGTCCGGATGCCACCATTATTTACGTGGAACTCATCAGAGAGGGTATCCCTACTGATATAGGGTAAGGTCTGACCTGGATCTGGCATTAAAAAAAACAGTAAATAGAAGGACTAGAGTGCAGGTTTTCTTGTGTGGTTCCGAACAAGAAATAAACTACTTCCAGCTACATGGGCAGGTGATTCATCACTGCTCTCCAGGTGGGAAAGCTATGAACGCAGCAGTAAGCAGCAAGTAAAAGATTATGATTTGCATTACAAGTCTGCCAAGTAGCAAAAGGTTTCACATATTCTTTCTGGGCACTTCTTTTTTCCTAGCAAGATTTCCTAAAAAGGACAGGACAAAACCTCTCTGCCCATCTAACTTCATCAGTCAAACACAAACAAATATGGCAGTGCAAAAAGCTTTCACAAATATGACTTTTCAACAAGCCCCATAGTATTAGCAGCAGAACAGAGTGAAGAGACCCAACTGAACTTCCCAGAAACAGGGGGCTACATGATGAACCCAGACAGCACAAGGGTTGATGGGATCCAAGTGGGAGAGTTAGGGCTGTTGTGCATGGGAGCAGGGAGCTCTGAATGATGCCAACCATGGCCAAGGAAATCCAGGATTTGGGCGTTCCTGCACTTAAACGGGTCACAGTGGAGAATGCAAGAAACTGCTTTTTGTTTCTTAAGAAAATAAATAAAAATGCAGAGTTACATAAAACCTCCTCATCTCTATTTAAGGAAAAAATAATGATTCCAGTACAGCCTCTTGTGAACACAGCTCAACCTCCAAAGGTACATCAACACTATCCTTGCACTGCCCATCCACAGCCGCTGGATGCATGACGTACACCCAACAAATTACAATATACTTTGAGGGATCGTTCATTAAGTGTGTGAAATGAATACCATTTCCAGGCATTTCATGCATTGACAACCGATTACAACGCACGCAGCACTAAACACTGATTTAATCAGCTGTATTTGTGGTCAAACCTGGAGCAAATCATCTTCAAACTCTGCTCATTGTAGGAAAGTTCCACAGAAAAGGCACGATATCCTTCAGAAAAACACAGTAATTCGATTTGAAAAGTCTTGTAAAGATGATACCTTTTCACATTATACACACAAATGGCAGTGTTTGTTTCATGAGTCTGCTACTGATTTTTAACATCTCACTGCATCATCCAAAAGGATGGATCAAAACGCAAGGATTGGATATAAGCACTATTTGCTACACAGAGAAGATCTGTATTATTAATACAAAACAGACTCCCCACTGAAAGCAGAACTGCTGAAATGTCACACATTTACCTGCCACACGTTACACAGCTGGATAACCAAAGAAAAAAGCTAACGTTTTGCTTGGCTGTCAGAAGTGCTACTCACCCTGCCCGAGTCAAATGAGTGTAATTTTTCAAGGCTGGCTCGAAGTGTTTCTAAGCAAGCTGTGGCAAGGTAAGGACAGGCGCTGCCACTGCTGGCAATGCACGTTCCTGCCCGGCTGCCAAGAGGTGGCAGTGCAGCACTGGCTTTGCAACGGTAACAACTCCAAAAATGCAGAAATGTGTTAAATAAATACACAGCCTTCCTGGTGAGGGCATGAAACCGAAAAGGCTGCTAAAGTTTCCTTAAAAAAAAAAAAGAAAGAAAAAAGAAAAAAAAATCAAGATATTGCTTTGCCCGGTTTTTCAGTGCTAGTCTCAATCTGAGAGGCTTTTGTGGTGCTCCCTCCTGAGCAGGACGTGGCTCACCCACTGTACACCCCAGGGAAGCGAGGAGCTGACTAAGGAACACACAGAACCAACGACTCTCCCTGCCACCCCCAAAGGGAAAATGCAGCAGCAATACAGATACAAAGGGATTCCATCATTCTTTCCAGCCAGCGCCAAGCAGGGCACCTGCGGGAGCCAGCCTGAGCTCCACCCCACACCCCAAGGACTGAGCTTTTCCGCAGCAGCTCTGGGGAAAGCACAGCAGCAAGGCCCAAGGCCTCACCCACACCCCCTGCAGAGGGGTCTCAGCCGCAGACACGACGCCCTCCAGCCCCGTGGCAGCTCCTGCTGGCCCTACATCCACCTCAGCATGCTGCTCAGGCTCTGTTTTAACCTGCACACGTCCCAGTCATGCTCAGCAATGCCAGCGTGGCAACAGTAGAGAACTGTGCGCTTCCCCCATAGCATCCCAAACCACTGGGCCACCGACGCTGGCAGGATGCACAGCACTAGTTAAATTCCAATCAATATAGTACCAAAGTATCTATCCCAGGACGTTATTCATTTAGCAGGCATGTAACACACCAGTCACAAAATAAAAGCCAACTGCCTATACTTACGGTGGCCTCAAGATCTAGGCAAAAGCCCAGTGTGTCACACACCAGTAAGAACCTCAAAAGATGCACTCCTGTGCTTTTGACAAATTCTTCTGACTCAACCGAGCAGTGAATCGCTGGCTGGAGTCAAAGTCATTCAGAAACTACTCTTTCAAAGGAAATTAGGTTTCTCATCTCAGAGCCCGCACACCAACTCCATCTCAGCTTCCGCTCAGCAAAAACGTGCCTGTATATTGCAACAGGACAACCGTGACTCCGAAACACCAGCGTGCAGCAGTTAGTGTGGCATCTCCTGCCCTCAAGGACCATCTACCTCCTCTCATACTTTGTGTGGCACTTGCAAGGAGAATTCATTCTAGAGAGATCAAGTTCCGCCGTCGTGAAAACTGGATCTACAGACTGATGGGTACCCAGCAGTACCAATCTGATTGCGTTCTGACAAATTATTATTCTACCATACATGTTTATGCTAGCTTTGTACTTTTATTCCAGGTTCATGCCAAATGCTAGAGAACAGATGCTGCTTGATATGGCTCCTTGCCTAATAGCTTTTCTGTGCTTTAAAAAAAAAAAACAAAAAAACAAAACAAACCTTGAACTGGCAGAGAAAGTTTATACACCAGATTAGCACTCTGTGCCTCTTCATTACTGTTTTATAATATACAGTGGATTTACCACAGTTCAGATTTACTCCTTCATCCAACAACAGCTTAAGAAAAAATCCTGCCATGTGAGGTGGGCTCAAACACATCCTCGTTAGGTAAGATAACAGAACCGCCTGGCAAGCTGCTGCAAACAGCAATTCCCCAAACATAGCAATCATTAGTTTGATACCAATACAATACGTTAAAGGGAACAGCTAATGCTCTCAGCAGCTCTGAGAAGCGTTCAATGTTCAGATGCGTTGTTCAGATGTGAACAACCCACTCCATTTTTGTACGGAAAACAGAAACCTGGCCACAAAAACAGTAGCATCTCCTCCATCAACAACACCGCCACAAGTCCTTGTCATTCCTTCCTCTTCCATGAAACCTGATGACTCTTTGGTCAGCGCACACACAGCTCATGCTGTGAGCAGCCCGCAGAACCCAAGTTTTGGTCTGGTGCCCCATGGAACACCTCTCCTGGTGGTCGCTGTTTTACTCCTAGTGTTTTTCAAGGCTCTTCCCCAGGACGTGGCTGGTCCACAATGGTTCCAGACTCAGCAACAAGTGTTCCAAGGAGTTCTATAGATAGAACTGTTTAGAGACTGATTGTAATGGACAACTTGTGTGAACAAACTGGCGAATCCTGTCTTTCAAATCTACAGTACGCAGCCAATGTTGTATGCCCTTCTGTGTATCAACTGATCAAATCAATTTAATTTCAATCAAAATGAATGTTTTCTCATACTTTAAAAGAAGGGAAAAAACTGTCATCTTAATTGTTTTAACTCAATTGCTTTAAGGAATCCCAGTCATTCCTTCAAACCTTCCTTTGAGAAAAGGGCCCACTGCTGGGCACAGCACAAATCAGTCCTTAATGAGATTCTCTGACTATCAGAGAAATCTGCAATTGGGAATTCTCACTAACTTTTTTTTAATTTAAATGTAAATATTTCTAAAATTACACACATTCACTTTTCTTTCTTTTTTTTAAAATATATTCTAAAATGAAAGCTATCTTGTTTTCTGCATTTTTACCTGTATTTTTACACTGCTATCTTTAAGCACCCATCTCCTTTGGGTTTTTTTTTTTTTTGCTGTTAAG